AGAATCTCGCCAGCTCAAGGTTGCAGACAAGAACTACCCAGTCAACGACAAGGAATTACTTGCGACGAAGTAAGCACTTGTCGAGTTTAGGGTGCACCTGCTCTGCTCCAAGCCGTCTGTGATTTACACAGATTATGCGTTACTACGCACTGCAACTCAGTCACCTCACCTCTCGCAGAGGATGGCCAGGTGGCTCTCTTTCCTCGCAGATTAGAGCTTTGAGGTGAAGTGTAAGCCAAGAAAGCAGAATGCTTTGGTTGATGCGCTGTCACGCAGACTGGATAATGAGCTTGCTCATGTCACGACCCCACTTTCGCACAAAGCGATGCATTCGTCTGTTCCGGCTAGGAGCCGCTCCGACAGAGCGCGATAGCGATAGTCAACGTGAGGCAGTCGGTGCACAAAGTGCTCCATGCTTTCGATGTCACCACAGCGGTATGCGACTCCAGCATGATCTTAAGCGGAGTCCCGATCGCGGCGGACCTTGGGTTACGAAAGACGCTGTAATCATACAATGACGTGGAAACACCTTAGCGAGGTCAGTGCGTGGCCGGGCTGCCAGTAGTCATGCATTTGATATGGTTTTACTATTTGGTCCGGAAAATCTATAGATTTAGATATAGGCGGTTTTGCCGCAAATAAAACAAAGAAATAAGTTTCCATTTTAAAGGGAAGTGCTCATTTTCCTAGGGTTAGAATGTGGTTACTCTTGGAGTAAGCGGATTGCGATCCGCTACACTCGTTCTGGCCCAAAGTATAGAACAAAGGTCAACAATCCTAGCTTAGCTTCCTCTAAGCAAAAGAGCTACGGCAGTCTCGCTGCAGTAACTGCCCAAAGCTTTTCTAAGAGAATAGGTGAGAGCCCCTTGACATAGAGTCAAGTTTTACGCCTTTGTGCAGAACCGAATAGCTTTACTGAATGCTACACTCCGCAAACGCTGAGATCTGAGTTTTATACTGGATATTCCATTATGACGAACCCGAATACGTGTGGGACTCAGCTCGAGCTCACCGACTTTAGCGGCAGCTTCAACGTATGACCCACTGTGTGCGTGTATGCTTACCATTACCCTAATTTATTCTGATGTTGAACAAGTAGGTGGGTCTTTATTTAAGTTTTTTTTTGTTTTCTTTATAAAGACGGATCTTTCGAATAAAAAATACTTATAAACAAGGATCTTTCGAATAAAAAATACTTAGGCATGCTCATCAACCCGGATGTGTATGTATACTACACGAAAATGGAATTTAACTTAAAAGTCAACTCTTCCAAACATTTTGGCAGATATTCACACTTCGAATTCCCGATGATCAAAAAGCTAGAATCTACTAATTCTTCTCTTGATTCTTGGATTGTAGCATGAACCCAGCAGTAGCCGCCAGCTTTTTCATTAATGAATACTGCGATTGAGTCATTTCGTGAGTCTTTTGATCCAAACAGCAGAGCGAGCCAATTGCAATGTCATCAGCATCAACAATTGGAAATCCACAATAGAATCGCACATCTAGATCAATTCGTGCTTTCAAGTTTTGAAATCGAACATCAGCCTCCGGATGCGGCACCAGCAACGGCTTGGACGACATAATCGTATGCTTACAAAATGTGTGTTCACGAGGAAGATTAACGCGTCGCAATTCATCCTTCGACGATCCTAAGATACAAGTTTCGTCAGCGGTTACAGCTGTCACAATGCCGATTGAACAGTCTAGTTGGCTAGCAGCCAATTTGCAGAGCGTATCCAACTCCGAAGCGTGGTCCACGTCTAAAATTTGGCTGCGTGCAATTGCTGCAAGCCGCTCTTCTTCGTTTGAAGGCATTGAAACATCAGGAGCGGTCGCATGTCCTGTCGTCTGAGGCCATGTGATCGCATACTCCCGCTTTGAAGCATTGGCTAATGTACACTCATACAGAGGAACTTGATGAATACTTAGACCTTTTTCAAGGGCATCAATGTATTCGTGGTCAGTGCTGTCTGACGTGAGATGATTCAATGGTCGTTCCTCTATCTTTTGGTGTTCTCCAGGCTCTTCATCGATGAGATATTGAATGACTGAACGCACTGAGTTTTTACGGACATCAGAAGATGTACGCAACTCGGATTGCAGCAAATCAACCAAACTTACAGTCGATGGAGGATGGCCGATCGGGTCTTGTTGCACTTGCAAGTTTCGTAACGAACTAGGCTTGACTGCCGTGTAATCGGCTTTGTCAACAAACTCCACACAACGTAAACACACACGTACTGGCGTGACGTGAAGAGCATCGTAGGACTCCATCTCTTGAATTGACCAGCAGCGATCACAAACAAAGTGTCCGCAGAGATGACAGCGATGTTTTCGTGTGAGTACACGCAACGATTTGGTACAACACGTACAATGCGTGTTTTTTGCTTCAAAAGCCGCATGATCAGCCATCGTCTGTGCTCCAAATCGACGTCGACGTACGATTTCGGGCAAACGAGTCACTCCCTCAGCTAAACGCATCAATCGAGCACGTGCTTGAGAAGCTCGTGCATGACGCGGATTGTTCAAGTCGTCGCTTGCAAATTGACCAAAGAAAGTCACTTGAACGTACGGGGAATCTGGGGCTTGTTCGATTAAATAGCCTGCGTTCAAATTGTGCAGTGTCTTGACGCGAGCATGACCATTTACTTTGCCCGCTTCGACTTCTTCTTCGTCTAGCGAACTTAGTGTGAGTGTAAATGAACTCGGTTTCGATGATGTCTTTCGACTTGATGTCGTATGTTGAGCACGTTCTAAGAAGCACCATTGCTCATTTGGCGAAAACCGCTTGCAATGCACAAATGTCCCTGTCTTGACTGCTACTCGTGTCATCGTTGACTCTTTCTCGTGAAGTAATTCGATAAGGCGCTTGTCGTCCTCGCCAGGACCAGGTGGAACGATGCGTACCACTGACCCGTAGATAAAATCTTTACGATAAAGACTACGCATAGCAGCGTTGTAATCAAACGTGTTTGATGAATTTAAAACATGAATCACTTCTTGCATATGGCAATGGATATTTCCCGTAACGAGAACTTGCTGACTTGATCGAGATCGTCCTAGCACATCCTTCCATCGAGTTGTCTTTTCATCTAGTCGTCGTGTATGCGTTGTAAACGACTCGGGTGACTTGTGATGCAGAATCCACTTGCAATCCGATTCATTCGAATTCTCGAGTCCGTTAAAATCCAAGACACGGGCTCCGAGATCTGCTCGGGCGCACAGTTCGTCATCGTCAAGCCACACTTGCGTTTTGCAAGCTGAACTCATGGTGCTACATGACAAGGATGGATCAGTAGCGGTACTACGCTCAATGTTTCGAAAACGAAGACGATGCGATTTGGCAAAGTCTCTGGTAAATGCGTCAATGCTAGCCGTGTTTTCTAGAAACGGCATGTTTGGGAACTTGGTCGATGTTTCAGTTGTGTTTATGGAACGATTTGGTTATGGCGTTATCAAAGGCACTGGACAAGCGTTTGCATCGAGTGCTTGCCGAAAGATCGACCAGATTGATTTGAACTGTGTGGCTGTCTAATTATTATTATCAAGTGGAAAGGCGCAATCGACATTAGGTGATCAACCGATGAAATGACAAAGTCTCTAGGACATCAAACACTTAATAAGTTTGACTTGAAAAAGCACATCTAACAAACATAGTTAAGACTGTAAGACTGTGAAGATAAACTATTGCTACTTAAAGTCTGAAGATCATTTGATTCTATCATATAGAGAATACTGAGATACCAATGATCTACAAGCCATGCGATCCATGCGTGCTTCCTATAAGGTTTAAAACGGGGTTGGGGGTGATCACTTTATCCCTGGACTAGCTTCCATTTTTTACTCTCTCTTCGAGAACATTGCCAATATCAAGTATAATAACCCTTTTCTGTCGCTTAAGTGCTCAAAAAGTACGCTAGTATATTTATTTAACTTGACCATATTTTTTGTCAAATATTTTATTCTATATTAAAATATCTGACAAAAATATGGTCAAGTTTCGATCTTCTTATAAATAATTATACATATATTTAGTAAAACAAGACGTACGACGATGGTCTCGAACTTTGTCTGATCTTTGTCAAATGAAAGTAACGAGTCTCGTCTGAGAAGATCGTTACACACCTGCATTTATTTTCTCTCTCGAATGGGCAACCGATGGAGTCCTTAGTGAAATATCTTGGCTTCAGGTGATCACTACAAGTTGTCAATGTCTCATCACTTTACTTTTTTGTTTTTGAACATAAAATCATGACAACTCATCACATTTCTTTATTCTATTCATTACCTAAACAAACATAAAAAAATGTTAATAAAAAAACGATACATAGCTTTTCAATGGACCTGCAAATAAAATGTCATCTAAAATTCATATCTAGTATCCTCGCATACACAATTGTGATCTCCAAAAGAATCACCGATAGAAACAGCGTCAAGATAGCAGCCCGCTTCATATGCTGTAGTTGAAAACTTCAATACTCTCTCATCTTTTTAAAGCGAGTACTTTGTGTGTCTATGAATCCGTGCAAACGACGCCAGCTTCACTTTTAGTGTCTGGATGCACTTTGTCGTCAATTGATGTATGCAGCACCGAAACATCGCCTCCTTGTGCATTACCGCGTCCAATCCTGATCATAGCCCATCGACAATTACCGCACAATATCGTTGTCAGATACGCGTCTTGATATTGCAAAGTAATTATGCACTCAGTAAACTTAGCACCAACACTCATCTAACAATTGCACATATTATGGATATCTGCCTTCATTTTATTGTGCAAGGCATTGAAGCAGCAACCGTCATGCTTCTGCCAACAGGATCATTTGATGGCGTACGAGAGTATAAGTAACGCGTGATTATCTAGATGCGTGCTGCTTTCAGCAATGTATCTAACGGTCTATTAGAAAACAACACTAGACTGGTTTTTAGGCGTTAATGATCGATCACAAAAACGATTGAGTACGGAAAAGAACCAACAAAAACCGTCTTCCAGCAACTCAATGTGGACTTGCGGGTAGGACACGACCGACCCGCACTTCAAACGCTTTAGATATACGTGACTAACAAGTCCTGATTGTGGGAATGTCTTCATGTCTTTGTTACAATACAATTCTTTTGTACAAATTACGCTTGCTCGTACTAAATGTCCTCATAGCCTTAAGTCCGTTGGTCCCAGAACAACATTTTCTTCCGTGACCTCTACATTATTGATCGTATATCTGTGATATCTTGGAATAGCCTACTTTGGTTCCACTTTAGAGGATCATCGGAGCACTGTGTTGAATTTACAGACTCAATTAGTAGGCCTACTCCAATAAAAATAATGTAATGTTTTCGTTTTGAAATAATACTCAGTCCATTCAATGATGTTGACTATAGTGAGCAACAACACATCTTAACTTTCCTGATTGTGATAGATCATGTTATTGCCCTTGAAGACACCATAGATCATAAGTTAACTAGTACTGGTGTTTTAGTTCGTTGGTTGTAAATGGACATCGAGACTTGACAGCATCTCGGCCAAAAAAAAACATAATTTGAAGCTGTGGGTTTGCTAATATTTTCGGGAGGGTATTGGATAGTAGAACACCACATCGGCCCAAACTTGGACTCTCAAGGTAAAATTTCCAGGACACAGGAGCTCACACGCATTTTATCACTGAATTTTTTAGTTTGAATATAATCATGAGGAAAATTTATTTACATGCCTTTGTGACGTGCAAGCTATTACTGTGATAAAAACAGCATATTTACGCTTGCGAGTAAGTCAAAACATTATGCTGGCATTGATACTGTCTATCTCAGCTATCAACTCTGCGTGATGTATATAGGAAGCTTTTGACCTGATGGAATGCGGTGATATTAATTCATTTAAGATACGTAAGCGAAATCATGCCAGGATCGGTGTCAGCTACTAAAGCAATGTCTTTAAACTTCCCGCACCAAACATAGCAGCGCAGTGATATTCGTTCTTGGATATTTGATTGTCCTGCTGGCACTTGTAAAATTACAGATAGTTCTAGGCTATCAATGAATAAAAATTAGATAGTTTCGTTCGACACAATGAAGATATTTGTGCTCGATACAAACGCTAACAGCAATTTCCTCAAGACCCATTTACAGTGAAGCTCGTATATTTGCTAGTGTACACACGCTTTGCGATCGATGAACGGCATTCAATTTTGCCAGCACTATCCTCCATCATGCAGATTGTGCTCCTGCTCCATTTGCGCTTCGGGCTTGACGAGAGGTCAAGAACCAGCGCCTTTTCATATGGAATGAAGGGTGCAGCGAAGTTGCCGTGCACTTCGCACAGAGAAAGCTTAGACCCTCAGAGCGCTCACAAACGCACAGATGTTGAATTCGTGCAAAGTTACAAGGAGCGGGGCTGAGATCCCATAGAGTATCTCACATTAATAGCTCGCTCTGTTATTTCGAGATTGCATATATTCCGGAATGATTGTATCCAGACTATCACGTTTTACTATGTGCAGCGGGGCTGCCGTAGCTCTATGCTTAGAGCTTACTAGGTCACCGACCTTACGTTCTTACCAAGAACCAGTATGAGTGCAGCAAATCGCAATCCGCTACCCCCAAGAGTACTTAGAACCTTAGCCAAGGTAAAAGGACTCCGTTCAAAATTAAAACCGGATTTAATTGTTTATGTTGCGGCAGAGCCGCGAATATCTAAAACCCTAGGTTTTCCTCACTAATATAGTAGTTCTAATTTACATAGTAATATGCATTACTGCTGGCATCTTGTTACGGTGTAACCACACCACTGTGTTCTTACCCTAACTGTGTAATACACACCTATGTGTGGCCCCACAATTTTGTGCGACCCGCCCTTTCATACAAGGGTCCGTGTACCTATGTCCGGTCCCACAATCTTGTGCGACCTACCCTTTCACACAAGGATCCGTGTAATTCTGTCACACTCCTCCCCATTCAAATTGTGAATATCCTCAAACGGTCGCCTCCTACGAGACTCGCGTGTCTGAGATTAAGAACAATTTTAAACATTCTCCGCTCTATGAACACTGTGTCTACGACATACAAAACACCCAGCCTATCTGGTAGCGATCGCGCCCGCGGGCAAAGCCTATCTTCTTCTTTTATAAAGAGTATATCTCCGGGCAGTACGTTCGCGGCTTCGCGAAAAGCACATTTCAAGCCCTGGCAGCTGAGCGCAACACACCGCGCCCGCCTCGGGCGACGGATTTCCTCGTCGATGCTTTGGAGAAAGTCGACTCTGAGTTGGACACTCCTTTCCCAGTATTGGAAGACGAGGAGAGGGGGTGCGCCAACGGCGCGACGTGAGCCCAGCTCAAACCTTGCGGACACCATGTCCGTTCCCCGACCTCTCGGCTTCTGGGGGAAGTGGTATTATTACTAATCGCCTCGACGAGGTGCAGGAGCAGCAATTGGAAACTGCTCACAGGGCGGCTCGCCTGCGCTTGTATTTAAGTTTGTTCGTAGACGCTCGTGTGGAGTACGGCTTCCGCTCGGCAGATCCCGCCACTGTAGCGAAAGACGCGATCACTCGATCGTTAGGCGTCTATGTATTTGGGCCCTCGGCCACTACACAGGTTGAGCTTGATCAGCGGAAAGCTCTGCGAGCTCGCTTTTTTGTAACCCAAAAGATCTAAATGGATCGGTATCGCGCTCGACTTCGAGCTCAAAAGGAGGTGCTTCTGTTCCCGCAATGCGGGCCATCCCTGTGGTGCTCGCCCCTGGCAAAACCGCTGCAGATGATGAAACGCTCTTTGAGCGATGGGTGCAGCGGCGCCGGAAACTTTC